CTTGGAACTTCACTTTTTGTTTACCAATTTTTAGAAGAATGACTTGGACTCCTTTGGGAATTCTTCTTAATTTGTCATGGTCAACTGTGTGGCACAAAGAAAACAACAAAATACCTACCAAATGCTCAACTGTGCACATCCAGGATCCCAGAAGTTAGACAGGGATGTGCAACTGGTTCAGACAACACAGTGCGACAAGGGTCAGTTCTGGGCTGAGAGCAAAAGTCTTTGCCTTTCTCTGGGCTCTTCCTTTCCTTGCTCAGCAAAAATGACCAACCCTGAAGGTTCAGATGGTGCAGCTTCAAGGTAGTAGAACCTCACCTGAGCTGGTTTGGCTCAGTGCGGACGAAAGAGTCCCAGGTTCAATTCCAGGCAAGGGCATGTACCTCAGTTGCAGGCTCCTCCCTGGCCCAGACCTGGTCAGGAAGTGTGCAGGAGGCAACCAATCCATGCAGTTCTCTCTCACATGGATCTCTCTCTCTCTCTCTCTCTCTCTCTCTCTCTCTCTCTCTCTCTCTCTCTCTCAAAATCAACAGGAAAAACAAAAGATGGTAAGACCTCTGTCAGGCTGGGACCTTGAGGAACTACATGGAACAGACCCATAGCACCATGTCATGGAAATAAGAAGCAAACTTTTGTGCTATGGAGCCACCGAAATTTGGCGGTTAGCATAACCTTATTCAAGGCACATAATTCTGCAGGGCCAAAGTCTGAATTTAAGTGATGGACTACTTAAAATTGTTCTCTGGTGACTCAATGAAAAATGTGCTCCTGCAGGCTCTTAAAACCATAGTCCTAATAGTTGACATGTAGGACATTTGACTTCGAGGCAGAATTATCAGTTAAATAAGGAGTGCATTACCGCTACTTTTCAGAGGAGTGGTGGGCTACGTAAGCCAATCAAACCCCATGGTTCTTCATTGTGTGGAGAGATGATCACACCAGCTTCACTGCTTCGTCTCTTCAAACAACAAAAACCATAAGAGACAAACTACTTTCAATCCAACACGCTTTATTCTTTTTTTATTTTTCTTAATTTTCAGTGATCAAGTATTCAAGATGTTGTAAACCGAGGTTGATTAGTACATTGACAATAGATTTCATTAAACACAAGGAAATTATACATATTTTAAATTACCCTAAGAGGTCACCAAATAAATATTCATTTTTAAAATCACAAAATCAAACTGCTTTATGCAACAACTCAAAACAGCCTTTCATCACAGGCATACACACCTCTACACACACAACACACACACACACCGAACACGCACTCCGTTAGGATCCTACACCAGCTGGTTTGACACAGTATCACCTCTCCTTTAGAGAATCAGAGGCCAATCTGCCTGTTTCCTGCTTTTATCTGGCATTTTGCTTTTGGGGTAGAGGTACGTATTTTAAGAGAAATGCTCACTGTAAAATCTTACCAATTATTCTTATTTTTCTTTTCTACATACAAACTTTAAACTTTTGTTGTTGTTGTTGTTCACCCCTTTGGTTTAACACGTCCCTTCAATTACATTGGTTTTAGTTCTTAATATTTTCTCCAACTTTCACCTGGAAAAGTAGAATACCAGAAAGAAAGAAAAGAAAAAAAAAGAAAACACCTTCCAAACCCTAGTATTAAAAACACCTTACATGGGTGCGCGTTTTTACAGAATAAGAAAAGATTATCTGAAATATTTTTCTCCTCTCTCGGAAATGATTTTTAGCATCTGATTATTCTTGCTAAAATAAATATCAAAAGCACTGAGTTTTTATAGAAAGAAGATTCCCCCTCACACCCTTCATTTTTGCAATGTCAAGTTCATGGATTAACTGAGGTTATGAGAGCAATGAGTGTTTGCTTCCGGGAAGTCCAGAGTTTCAAAAGCAAAGCACATGCAGTCCCTTATCAATGAAACATCGTGGATTCAGTGGCGTGTTTTCGTGATGAGCATGCTTCATCAAGTACTTCTAGCACCGAGGCATTCTTTTTAGCATTGCAAAAGCGAACACCCAGGGAGGGTCTTCCTCATATTTGACCCTTCTTGGGGCTGAGTAAAAATGAGGTGCTTAGAATAACATACACAGATCGGATTCCATTGCAGCAGGAAATCTGGGATGGACACGGCTAGTAGCATCCTGGGAGGTGGGGAAAGAAGAGGAGACAGAACAGATATAAAGTGCCCAAGGCCGCTGACTTCAAGGTCAGCCCTGGCACTCCCTTGGCTGGCACGACAGAGGAAAGGCGAACGCGGGTAAAGGCCACCAACTGGTCTGCATAGCAGAGAATCGGCAAACCTGCAGAGTAGGCAATTCTGGGATTATACTGTATGGTGATGTTCACCTGCTACTTAGAAGACTAGTGTGCACCAATATATCGATAGTTATGTCCGTGTTACTGCGAAACACACTAAATCACCAGGTAGAATTGGCCACCACCCTAGGCTTGGGTTCTCCCACGCCTCCTGGGCACACACGAGGATTTCCACAGCTGCTTCCAGTCCATTCAGACTACGCAGCTTTTCCCTGGCAGCCCTGTGGCTGACAGAGCCAACGCCCAAAAGCAATGTCCGCTCCAAGCCCGCCGAGGAGTGCAGGCTGAACGGCGGACCGAGGGAGCGTTTCTTGGTGGGCGGTGAGGACGGAGGGCGGCCCTCACCTCCTCCAGCACCTCGCTTCCCCGGGGCTGCACTTCCCAGTGCCTGCTCGTGTGCCTGCACCTTCCGGCGCTCACAACCGAACGATGGTTTGGTATATTACATGCAATGTTTTGAATACGTTCGCTTAACGTGTAACACTTTGCATATGTTCATTGAAACCTTTTATTAGGAAACTTAACCCAATTTTCACACAAAAATAAATAAAAATTTTAAAAATGGAGCCGAAACCGGTTTGGCTCAATGGATAGAGTGGTCTGCAAACTGAAGGGTCCCAGGTTCGATTCCGGTCAAGGACATGTACATTTGTTGTGGGCACATCCCCAGTGGGGGGTGTGGAGGAGGCAGCTGGTTGATGGTTCTCTCTCATCGATGTTTCTAGCTCTCTATCCTTCTCCCTTCCTCTCTGTAAAAAATCAATTATATATATATATATATATATATATATATATATATATATATATATATATATTAACTGATGAAAATATTGATATCCTAAAAGAGAGGGTGGAAAAGCATACCCCTGAAATCCACAAAACTCAGATTCGGTCAGCCTGAACCTCCTTTCCTTGTGTTTCATTTCAGAAATTCTGCTGAGGCACAACATTACCACCACTATTGGTTTGTCCTATATTAAATACACACTAGAAATAAATACTTGAGGTATGTTAGGACAAAAAAAAGTTGAGTATAACACCTAGCTAAATAAACCTACATTTACTTGCAGATCTAAACATTCAATTTTAATGTTTCCTACAGATCGTTTTCTGTTTTATGCAAAGAAATAACAACTTCCCTACTCTTCAGAAACAGTAACATGTCAACAACTATGATGATTTACCTCCCTATCGTCTAGTCACAACTTACCCCTGTTAACCAAAACTCTGCTAGGCATTATGCAGTGGAAGGAGTGAGCCACTGTGAGAGAAGCCTGCATCTGAACTCTGACATGCAAAACCACGAGGGAGAAAGTCTGCCACCCTGGGCTTGGGCGCCCCCACAGCTCCTGGGCACGTGGGAACATTTCCATAAGTGCCCACTCTCCAGTCCTCAACAGGTCACTCCACCTCTCGGAGCCTCGGTTTTCATGATCTGTTTTAATAATAACAACAACAACAACAGAACATAGCTACCTTTCATAGTTACTAAGAGGATTACACGAATGGTGTACTGTATATTAAATCTCTGCAAATACACCAACACTCAACAAATGCTAATTTGTGTTCTCTCTGCTCCTCCTTTCTTCCCCACCTTGGTTCTGAAAGACTTTTGACTTTTTTCAAGAATTAAAGCCACCTACAAAGGATCAGGGTTTCGTAGTAATAAAAATAACCAAAGAATGTGCTCCAACGCCCGCCCACCCCCTGGGGCTTCTAAATTAATAGGCAGGAATCAAGGTTATTATAGTTGCATATTAAAGCCAAATAATAGGTTAATCTATAGATTTTATGAAGGATGATCTTTTTAAGACGACCTTTTGCCAAAATAAGTTATCATAAGCTTAAGCTCATGGAGGGTGGCAATTAAACTTATAACAGGACTAGAAAGTAACAACCAATTTATTAACAAGCATATAAGAACCTCATATATACAATTCAATGGTGTCTATAAAATCATCACTTTAGTTGACTACATAATATTTCAGTGTTGCTACCAGAGCCCAAACCATTTGGGGGCAACTTTTACTTGGCACACGTTCCAAGACTTCAACCCCCCATGATTTTCACTACGTATGCGACCCCCACCAACAACACATTCAAGATACGCCTGCTACTTATAAGCATGAGATACTGAAGGCAGCACACTATTAACACTGTGACGTATGACTCAGGCTCATTTCTTTGAATGATGGTCTAATCAAAACCACAGGATTTCACAGTGGCCAATGGCAATGGGTCAAATGGTGCCCAAGAGAAAGAACTTGCATCCCGTCACTGATTGCTGAACTGGACGACAGTTCAAGGTCGAGAATGGAGGAGCAGCTAATTATACTAGATGACTCCATCATTCCCTATCCTGGAGTTCTGAGAGCGCCTCCTTTTCAAAATGGCCCACCCAGAAGAGAGGAACTGTAACAGTGGTGAAACATATCCTCTTAGCTACAAAAAAATGAAGTGTAAATCCCACCAATATCTTCTCCGTGCAGTTTCTGAGTAAACAGAGGGAAATTAAGGAAACACTCTCTCTCTTTCTCCAGCCTATCTTTAACTCCAACACTAAGGGAAACTTCCTCTTCCAAAGGCTCAAAGATTTTCCATATGCTGTGGTCAGCAAACTGCGGCTTGCAAGCCACATGCGGCTCTTTGGCCCCTTGAGTGTGGCTCTTCCACAAAATACCACGGCGTAGGCAAGTCTATTTTGAATAAGTGGCATTAGGAGAAGTTTAAGTTTAAAAAATTTGGCTCTCAAAAGAAATTTCAATCATTGTACTGTTGGTATTTGGCTCTGTTGACTAATGAGTTTGCCGACCACTGCCATAGCAGGTAAGGGGGAACTCTGAGGCCCCAGAGCAGACACTGGGTTAATCAACAATATTTTCCAAAGACCTCCAATATGCACCATGTTGACTCAAGTTTGACGGACACCAGTGTATCTACAGGCAACAACGGTTCTAAGATCCAAACAAGATGGCTCAACAGGAAGTCTTTGTCACCCGGGCACTGGTCCCGCCCCCTGGAGACATTCTTCAGCCCCATAGTGACAACCCTCCCCACAAACTGCATGCAACCAAGAGAACCATTTGACTGCTGCCATTAGGGCAGAGGGGAAAACATCCCTGAGTCCAGACATTGTCACACCACCCCATGGGGCAGCCAACGATGGAGGGCAAGAAGTCTGAATCATGGGACAGTTCTGTCAGTCACATTCCTCCTGAGGAAGGGTGTAAACCAGCCAAGGAAACCACTTCCCAGATTAGCCCTGCATAAGCACAGGCTCCCTGGCAGAAACAATGATACTGGTATTCGGGCCTCGCAGTCCTGCCTAAATCTGAGTTGTCGGGATTCTTTTTCCAAGCAGCCAGCTCCCATGAGGTCACTTACCCTCAGTCCTTAGTGCTGTCAGGAGGCATCTGCCTGAAGAGCCATGGAGGAAGCATTCTGGGTGGCACCTAAGTCCAAGTGGTGTGCTGGGAGGCACTGGAGAGGATCATGGGTAATGAACCCAAAGGAACAGACAAGTCCTCTCCGAGATCACTTCCGGAAAGTCACACGGTAGGGAGGAGTCAAAGGTTGGTGTAAAATGATTCTAACCCTGATAAACCTGGGCTCAGTAGGATAGATCATTTTATTTTGTATTTTTTAATCATTACTTAGGATCATATTCTAGGTCCGGCTCCCAGATCTCCCTCCTCCTGTATTCAAGGTGATTTCCATACAGGCAAGTATAGCTTTCCTGGATTAATGACTATCTCAGTAGCAATCATAGCAATTTTCTGCACATAGAAAGAATACAGATTTGCTGTTTCCAGGCAGATAACTAAAATCATCAAGTGGGGCTCAATCTTAGACTCTGAAATTGTCAAGTTTACAATCTCTAACTATCCTTGTGTGGATCCTTAAGAGGTAAAAGAATTTCTGCAGCAATTTTTTTTTTTTATGAGAAAGCCATGAGTTTCTTTCCTTATTATGCATCTCAAATTACGGTTTCTAGTCATAGAGGTTAGCACGCTAGTTGTAAAGCCCCTGGATGAAGGAATACTGGAGTTTATATTCAGATTACCAGATGATTTTGCAGCCTTCTTCACTACTTTATGATGGGGGCACACAGACTACAAGAGAATGTGTTTCATGAAACGAAGTAGCTTTTCCTTTTATCACCCAATGCACATGTTTCCCGTGAAGCATTTTAAAAATCCTACCTGATTTATACATCTGCTATGGTTTAAAATGCTACTAACAGTACTTTAAGCCGAGCTTCCTCTTTTTTAAAAACGTGTCTGCTTTAGTCTCTGAAAGCAAAAGTAGCATGCTGCACTTAACATTTTCCCCGATCAAATTGCATAGTTGAGGCAAATTCATTTGTGCTTTGTAGCAGAACTCACAGTAGGTGTTCAGATCTGAAGAAAACCGTTGATGTGTGAACGCAAGGCCATGGTCAAGCTCACCTTGGTGTGGCGTGTATGTGTGCTCATGAGATGCATCGCCTTTTACACCTCCGTGATTTGGTTGAACCATGGGCTTTGGCCTTCTACCCAAGGGGTGCACACAGAGCGTGAAATCAAACATAGCGGAAATGGTACCAAGTCTATGGAAGCTCCTCCTCCTCGGAGCGAAGGCGGGGAAGGGGGGGTCTCAGTCTGGTTGAGGTATCCAGCCCTCAATCCACAGTGGCTGTATATCACTGAGTCTTGCTCATTTTGAGGATTGTGTCTGTAGCGCTTCAAAAGGGACAAAGAAAAAAGAAGGCACGGGTGTTTCTCAAGTCGCCAATATTCAACTCAACCGACAACAAAAAGTCTTCCATTTCCAAGCTGTCTGTCCGGAGGGAGGCTACACGGCGGCCACAGGGCTCTCCTCCAGCCCCGGGTCCTGGGAGGGACTTATTGCTTCGGGGAAGGGCCCCGGGTAGGTCTGGGCTGCGCCCTGGACGCCCCTCCGCAGCCGGGCCTCGGCGGGGAGCTCTCCCTGCGCGCTGGTGCTGAAGGCCGGGCAGGAGCGCGTCCGGGCGTGCTTTTCCGCGGTGCTGCCGTCGGGGCGGCCCACCAGCTCGCTCACCGTGCCCAGCGGGAACTCGCGCCACCGCTGCCTCTGCAGCGCGTCCTCCTTGTACTTGATGGAGTACCAGGCCAGGAAGATGAAGATGAAGCCCACGAACTTGAGGCCGGCCGCCAGGCCGAAGTAGACGAAGCGGAACGACGTCACGTTGTACTCCCAGCAGGAGCCCTGCACCCCGCATTCCTGCTGCCAGAGCATGCAGGTGGTGTCGATGACCGCCCCAAAGTAGATCGGGGTGGGGATGTAGGCTGGAGGGGGGCGCAAGGGGAGGGAAGAGAGGAAGCGTGGTGAGCGCGTCTGAGAACACAGATCGGTGAGTTAGCAAATTTAAAATGTAACATTGTTAGCTGAAACCGGTTTGGCTCGGTGGATAGAGTGTCGGTCTGCGGACTGGAAGGTCCCAGGTTCGATTCCGGTCAAGGGCATGTACCTTGGCTTTGGGCACATCCCGGTAGGGGGTGTGCAGGAGGCAGCTGGTCGATGTTTCTCTCTCATCGACATTTCTAGCTCTCTATCCTTCTCCCTTCCTCTCTGTGGAAAATCAATAAAATATTTTTTTAAATGTAACATTTTTAAATACTTAATATTTTCTGTGTGCCCAGAATCCAAGAGAGGGGGGCGGTGTTCTTGCCTCACTTGATTTTGTTAAATGCATGTCACGCCTGATAATACATTTTACTACAAAAATGTTTACTAAACTGTTGAAACTTTATATCTCCCCGCTTGCAATCCAGTCAGAATGCGTTATTGATTTTTAGGGTCATAAAAAAAAGTCTGCTGCTAAAAATGCAATGTGGGAATCCTTTTAGACTTAAAAACCCGATTTTGTCATTAGGAGGTTATGCCGGAAGCCTTTATGATCCACTAAAATCCAGGACAGGGAGCTCTTGGGCTCTAGTGTTGGATGAGGTAAACGCTGTCTCCCGTAAGTGAGAAATCATATGAAAGGGCACCTTTATAAAGGCGCTTGGCGGTATAGAAAGAACGAAGGCATAACATTCATCTATGAAGCTCAGGGAACGTCTGGGATGTGTAGCAGTACCGTCGTTCTGGGGCCATTCTTTAATCCCATAAGAAAGAAAGTCTATCCAAGCGGACTGCCTTCATCACTCGTCACTCCCCTTGAGGGAATGTGTCCCCATCCCAGACTTGTTCCCCTTCCGAAGCCCACCCCTCCTGAAATATATATATTTCAATAAAACTTAAGCTAAGGTTGGATTAAATAATAAATGTCTGTCATGTTCTCCCTCCTGCTGTTACATGGTCCATCTGTTAACCTACCTTGACCTCCACATCCAGGTCCAATCACCCCACCTTTAGGGCATCAAAACAGGCCAGCAAAAAAGGAGGAACTGTTTTTCTTTTCCTGCTCAACTACCCCTTTGCTAAACAAACTTCCTTCTTTGAAAACGACTTTTCAAAGAGAAGTGTAAGGCATACTTCTTAACTATATCAAAGTCTGGCAGAATCTCCTTTAACCAGCATGTTTTGGAGGGGAAAAAAAGGTACCATCAGCGTCTTATTGACACCAAAACACAAGCCCTTCACTGAATACAACCAGAAAGAGGCCTTGAAGGTCCACTGGAAAGTGCTCGCTCTTGGGCCATCAACCACAACATGGGACAAATGGAAAATTCCAGACAGGATTAAAATTTCTAAGGGTCAGATGATACCATTTTAAAACATTTCACCTTTCAAAACTGAAATAACAAAATTTGAATCAGAAAAAAAAATTTGTGTTTCTCTGGACAATGATACTGATTACTGGGGGAAATAACAGCTGTAGAAAATCAGACTCACACTTAAAAGGAAGAAAATGTGCCAGGTGATGAGGAAAGTCAATTAAAAATACATTGAAATTGATCAGGGGAATGGACTACCTCACGCGCTATTTCCTGTGCATTGTCCCAAGACATCACAGGGTGATGCAGTGTTTGGGGAAATCAGAGCAATATGCTTCGTGCCCAAGTGAGCTCAGCGACTCACAAACCAACACAGCACTGAGGCTCTTGGTACTCAGGCCAGGGCAGACCCTGGGCATCTTTTCTTTTTTCTTTTTAGAATATTTTTCTTTCTTTTCCTCAGAAAACTTGATAGGTGCCCTCTTGGCCCAACCCAATAACATTAGTGGGATAAAGAAATGGGGATTTTCACCAACAAACAGAGCACCACTCTCCATCACTCTCATGCTAAAAGGCCACCAAAGTGTGTGTGTGTGGGGGGGGGGGGGGGGGGATAAAAATAAAAAAATAAAAGGCCACCAACAGACAAGAGCACCAGGATCCTAAGCCTGTCGTAACTGCTTGGTTCAATATTTCTTACAGAACAAAATCCTCCAGGGGATGTAGGCCAAGTTTATGTTCACGGTGAAAAAGGAGCTGACCTAAAGTTGCCTTGGTCTTGTTTCCTCAAATGACAGAGCTGGCCAGCTTTTAGTTCAAATCAGAAATCCAGGAGCATGTGCCCTGAGCACGAACCTGGGAATGCCTCGCTCCTACAGCGGCCACGGATGACGTGGCCTGCCATTCTAAAGGCCAGGGAGGATCTGCCACCTTCAAAGAGGAACTAAGAGGCGCACTTGGGAATGAAGGGACATACCGAGCGTTCGCAATAAGACAAACTGCATTCCCAGAGCAAAAGGTCTCTCCTCGTCTTCCACGGACCTAAGGGGAAGGGAAAGAAAGGAACATATCAAAATCATGGCCGTGAGAAAATGACTGTCAAATCAAACCTGCGTAGTGTAGGGCCAAGGGCCAGAGACACGCTTTGCCCAAGTGTTGAATGTTCTAGAATTATTAACCACAGCCCAGCAAGACTGCTGATGGCTGACCCAGTGACCGAAGGTGTCCCCAAGGAAGACACCCAAGAAAGTCCAATGGAGTCTAATCATTTCTGTATGAGTGCTGAGGGACAGGCCTCAGGGTCAGGGCTGAAAGTGCAGAGGTGGCTCTCACTGAACTTCCCAGATCAGTTCTGTTACATACAGAAGGCATTTTATCCAAATTACTACACTTATTCTCTCTTTGCCTGCACTTTCCTGTTGGTGTGTACACTGAAAATCACTCCCGTAATGCCTCAGGGAAAAGTAGAGAGAGAAAAGTTTTACAATAGACAGTCAAAAACAGCCCAGCCAGTGCAACTCAGTGGTTGAGTGTTGACCCAGGAACCAAGAGGTCATCTGTTCGATATCTCAGACAGGGTGCGTGCCCAGTTTTGTGGCTCAATTACCAGTAGGGGAGTGCAGGAGGCAGACAATCAATGATTCTTTCTCATCATTGATGTTTCTCTCTCTCCCTCTCCCTTCTTTTCTGAAATCAATAATATATATATATATATATATATATATATATATATATATATATATATATATATATATATATGTGTGTGTGTGTGTGTGTGTGTGTATATTTAACACACACATAGGGAACAAGTCAAAAATTAGAGAAAAACATGAATCCTTTCCAACCGCCTCATTTTTTCTTCTTTTCCTATAACTTATGCTCCAAATAATTCCCGCAGGGCAGGAAGATTTGAGACTCGTGAACTTTGTAATTATCCAAGATGAGAGGGTTCCTTTTCTGAAGTTTTGGGTTTGATGCCAGCTGGTGACCTGCCATGAACACTACAAATCAGGCAGTCATCGTCTGGCTGGCTGAACACCTCTGGCAGAATCAAAGGTCAAAGAATAACATTATTTCACATCTGTAGAATTAAAGGTCAAAGAGTAAGATCACGAGTGATTTGTATTATTTATGATGAAGTACCTTCGCCTTCCTATCCCATACGTGTGGGTTGTAGGTAGGGAGTGTAACATCCCCAAGGCCCGGGGCTCTCACCATCTTCCCCCAACTTCCTCACTCTCTCAGAGCGCTTGCCCAATGCGCACACGTAGTTGCCACTCCACACGTGTGTGCTGAGTGAACACCCCAGCAGGCCTTCTGTGTGCTGTCATCTACCCGCCAAGGAAGGAGTTGGCCAGGCAGCGTCTAACTCAGCATCTCATGCAGAAAACACAGGCAAGCAGCGCCAGGGCCCTGCCAAGAATGCCATCTCTGCAGCAGCTCCCCAGCAGGTGCCCAGCGTCTCCTGGGGGACAGAGGAGCCAGGGAGGAGATGAAAGGAGAAGCAGGACTCTGCTCCCTTTCCTGACTCCTCCCTGCACTGCAGCCCCAGCCCCGGGAGCTGCTGTGAGTGTGTCCTGGTTCTGCCGGCTGACCCCTCCTTCCTGTGCCCACCACGGTCTTTGCTGCAAATACCAACTGCCGGCTGGAATGTGCTAGTGCCAGGGTTCTGAATAGGAGTTCCATTGAGGTAACTTCCAGGTTCTCATAGAAGCAAAGAAGCCTCTATGCAGGATGGCAAAGAAAGCAACAGCGTGAACTGAAAAGTTACGTTTTCCAGTCTGCCCTTCCCTTGCTCAACTCCAGAAGTTTATACTGATCGTAACGGGAATGGAGTCAGCAGTTGGAGCAGCAGGCCCAGCAGCAGCGGCCAGAGGCCCTGGAGGTGGTGACTGTCTACGGGGCTGGGGTCCCTTTTCTGCCATAGGCAGCAGTGAGCAGCTTCACCGAAATGACTCCCTGCCTCCTCCGGAGCCTGGCTTCTTGCAGTGAACACGGTGACAGCTTCCAGCTCCCCAAGCAGAACCTTTACTACAGAATCTTCAGGAACCCAAGGCACCCTGAGAAGTTACACTGAACTACAGAAATAAAGCCCACCCGCCTAAAAAAGGTTCTAGAGAATGCAATGCCACAGCCTTCCTCTCCCTTCCTGACATGGCAGAACTCACTTCTCCCATGTTTGCCTGGCAAACAGCAGAGTGCTTTTCCTGCACCATCTCGTTTTGTTCCCCTCTGTGCACCTGACCCCGGTCCTGGGTCACGTGCTCCAGCAACTCGCTCAGCCTGTAACCCAGCGGAGAAGTTGAGTGCTGTTCTCACCTGAGCGTCACTATGATGGCTGATGGCTGGGCACACGCTGTGATGAAGGTGACGATGAAAAGAAACACTAAGAACGGGAAGAGGGTGTTACAGGCCCGTTTGCACTTCCCCGACACGGCATAGCCATTCTCGTTGAGATAGGTTTTGACGATGACCACGCGGACCTGGCTGCGCTGTCCCACGGTGGGCGGGGTGATCACCTGCCGGCTTTGGACACAGGCGCATTCCGTGTAATTCCTTATCTAAGGGACAGATAAGAGAGTTCAGTTAGTCAGGTGCAAATCAAAAGCAAAATTCAGCATCGGAACGTTAAGACAAAGTTTAGTTCCAATGCTCTCCAATAACTCCAGTGAGAGAGGGAGCGAGAGAGAGGGAGAAACATGGATGTGAGAGCAATCCATTGATTGGCTGCTTCCCATATGCACCCCAACCAGGGATCCAACCAGCAACCTAGGTAGGTGCCCTCACCAGGAATCCAACCTTTTGTTGCCCGGGACCAAACTGAGCCACCCAGCCAGGGCAACTCCAGTGTTTTTAAAAATGCAAAATGTTTGCTTGGGAATCTCTTCCGCATCGCTAACTATAGGGGTGCAAAGTGTGCATCCAATGACACAAAAATCCACTGGTCAAAACTGTTTAAGCTCCACTTTTCTAACAAGCTTTCTACACTCAACTCCAGGGCATTCATATTTCGTGCACCCATTTTTTTCAATTTTTTAAATTAAATTATTATCTGTGAACATATTTTACCATTGCCCCCCCCATATATACCCACCCTCCCCAGAGTTTTGTGTCCATTGGTTGTACTTGTATGCATGTATACAAGTCTTTCAGTTGATCTCTTATCTCCTCCAGATCTTCCTCCTCTCCCCGCTGTAATTTGACAGTCTGCTTGTTGCTTTACTGTCTCTATATCTATCTTCTGGTTCATCAGTTTATAATGTTCTTTATTATCCATAAATGAGTCAACTCTAGGGCATTCATATTTTGTTCACCCATTTTTTATTTTTTATTTTTTTGTCCTAATGAAAAGCAGCTTCCATTGCTCTTTAACACCTGGGCTCTTCAATACGAGACACCATCAAAAACGGGAACCGAGCCTTGCTTGTTTTATCTGCTTGTTTGCTTTTAACTTTATGGTGGACACTGTGCTCACCGGAGAACAAATCTGAGAGGCCCAGCACTCAACCTAGCGTAACCCTGAACTCAGAGCAGGGCCTGGAGTAGGTTATCTGTTATGTGAAAGCAGGTCATGCGTAAGGACTTCCGTTCCAATAATCATACGCATTGATAGCATGGGCTGTTTCGTTCAGCCAAGGGACTAAAAAGGTGTTTCGATGAAACAGCCAGTTAAGCGTCTTGCCTGTTATGTTGCTTTTACTGAATGGAGCTTAGCCGGATTCAGCACTGCTCAGTCATATGGAGAGGCCGTCAGAACGGACATGGAGATGGGACGCTCTGTGGCCGTCGGAGCTTGAGGACCGCTGGCCACTTTGGGAGAATGAGGGCTGCGCGCCAGGAGACTGGCTCCCTCCCCTGAAGGACTTCGCCACCAGGACAGACCTCTTGTCTCTCTCAACTTGGGGACACGTGGGAGCTCTCCCCGATCTTATCATGGGAAGCCAGCAACAGGGGTTCTCCATGTATTGCTCTAGTTTAAAACTCAGAAGCCAAACATGGCATTCCAGAAGCGTGCAGTCCATGGGATAAGCCCTTATCACCAGCCTCCTACAACCGGTTTTTATGCAAAGAATGAAACCAGGTTCGATAAGGAGCTGAGAAGAATATGAAAACCTTTCCCCACAGTATCACAGCCTATTTATAATTCACAGGGAAGGGAATTCTCAAAATAGCCTATTCTTGAACTGACAGAAATATCTTTACTCTGCGGGGGCGGGGGGGGGGGGGGGGACCAATAATCTATGAAAAATGCCACTGCTCATCCTCACTGACTCTCAGCAGGGAGGTACACTCCTGTCCTCTTCTGTCAGTGCCAGTGTGGGCATCTTGACCTTCAAATCCATCACAGGGGCCCTGTCAGAGGAACGCAGGAGAGGCCCAGCACTCAACCTCATCAAGTTGCACTGAGTTGGCAGCAAATGCAAAGCAGAAGAGAGCTGATGTAGAAGCAAAGGGCTATCCCCAGACATGCCAATCGTCGGGGGGTGGGGGGGAGGGGTAGAATAATGCATTGCATCATTTTCTCTCCTCAGGGTTCGTGTCAGGGGTGTTTTGTAGGTTATTTGAAGTTTCTTGAAAAGGGGAGACTGAAGTCATGTGTTTGTCTCTGACTTCTAGCACATCCTTTTCCCGGGATGTCAGATTAACCACAGGACAGAAATGTGTGACACAGACTCACCCCAGTGCTGAGATTGCCACTATTCACGCAGCCTGCCAGGCAGGGGTTAAAGTATGTAATTCCATCCGATCCACAGACGGGCTCGTACTCGTGTATCTTACAACCACAGTTAACGTTGCAGCTTCCAGTCAGGTTCCTGTGCGGCATGGTGAGAGAGGGGCTGAGAGAGAAAATAGGCAGATTGTGAACAACGTTTACTAAAATAAAACTGACAGGGAAGTGGTTGAGATTCAGTCATTTGCCCATTTTAGAGAAAACAGTCCTATTAAATCAAAGCTACGGCTCTGTTGATCATTATTGTTATAGCTTTAATACAAAACATAAAGGAAAATGTTACCATTTTCTGGTACCACAGGTTCAATCCTTTTGTATCAAATTATCCATCCTGTCTCACTTCTACCCTCCACCTCGGTGCTATGCACATGTTCCCAACATCTGGGCTCAGCAGTGCTAACCATGGACGCTTCATTCCACGCCAACAAATCTGGGCCTCAATCCCTTTAACTGTAAAATGGAGGAATTTTTGGGGGCCAAATCAATAACATCATTACGAGGGCATAAACATGGAATCCATCCATCACAGTTGTCAACTCAGGCTCCTTTGGCAAAAAAACACACAAAAACTTCCATTGTTCTAGAATAAATTATCAAAGAAAGCCATAGGACTCTGGGAAATCAAAAGGAAATGATTATTCAAAGGTGAGGAATCACATCCCTAGTTTGATTCCAATGATCTGAGAAGAAGGATGGAGCAGCCCCTTCCTCAGGAATGTCCAGATGTGGGCTCAGGCAAAGATGGTAGGTTTTGTTTTCTCGGGAGATCATGATGTCTGCGTCAAATAAGTAATACAATACATAAAGCTCTGATAAAATCAATTCAGGCAACAAATGCAAAAGGAAGAATAAGGCAAGTAAGGACACAGAGCCGCAGAGAGAAATGTGAGGAAATGGCTATGGAAGAGCAGAAGCAGCTGGTCCTATGGGAGACCCAGAAGAACGAAAGGGTCTGTAGTGCTCACACCCAGTGGGCTCTGTCCTTTGCTTTTGTGGCCACCATTTATAGGTGCCACCGATGACATACGCTCTCCAATTCATCTGTCCCTCTACTCATCCCCCATCCACGCAACCAACATTTTGGGACGCCTGCTCCATGCTCCAGGTATTATCTTCAATGACTATGTTGAGTAAGCACTGAGCCAGCACATAGCCCAGCCCAACCATATGTATGAATCTCTCAGCATGAAGATTTGTTTGTTCCAAGGCTTTTCTCCTGTGGCCTCTTTCATACTTTTATAACTGAGCCTTGAAATGTTAATGGAACAAGTTCATAGCAATGTTTAAACCTTATCAAGAAAGCCTTCGACACAATTTACCATAGCTACTAAGCTTTGGAAACAGCCTAAGTGCCCATCAGCAGGTGAGTGGGTTAAAGAATGGTGGTACCTCTACACAATGGAATACTATGCTGTGGTCAAAAAGGAGTTCTTACCATTTGCAACAGCGTGGATGGAACTGGAGAGCATTATGCTAAGTGAAATAAGTCAGTCAGAGAAAGATAAATACCACATGATTTCACTCATTTGTGGAATATAATGAACAACATAAACTGATGAACAAAAACAGATCCAGAGTCAGAGAAGCATCACTCAGACCGTCAAAACTCAGAGGGAAGGTAGGGGAAGGTGGGGGGAAGGTGGAGAGATCAACCAAAGGACTGTATGCATGCATATAAGCCTAACCAATGGACACAGACACCAGGGGGGTGAGGGCATGAGTCGGGGGTGGAGGAGACAATGGGGGGATAAGAACACATATGTAAAACCTTAATCAATAAAGAAAAAAAATCCTTCAAAAACGCAAAAGTCAAATAAACCCTGTTCTTCATTAATATCACTTCACTGAAGAAATTTTACATACAACTTTAATAGTATCATGTTCACAAACTCCTAGGATCATACAATTTTAAAATTTATATTTAAAATGTGATTTTTAACAATGTGATTTTTAGAGCAGTAGTTCTCCACAGGGAGAAACCTGCCCCCATTCTTATTGGTCACAACTGAGGGGATGCTATTGGCATCTAGTGGTAGAGGCTGGGACGCTACTAAATATTCCAGAATATACGGAGCAGCCCCTCGCCCACAACGAAGAATCAACTGGTTCCAATCTCAATAGTGCGAAGGCTGGGACACCCTGTCCTAGACCTACCACCACATGTTACAGGTGATACAGCAGAGGTTCAGAGAGGCCAAGCGATGTCCTACTAAGCCAAGTAGTCCTATGCCGACTGGTATCACGTGAAAAGTATTCTGTGTGCATTACTATTGTCTTCACTAGCTCCTCAATAACTTAATCACAAGCGTGGCCAAATAAAACAGCTTTTATATGCCTGCACACTTAGTCACTGAAACTGACAGACTTCAAAGCCAGACAGTGTGGTCATTATTATGCTATTTAGATGTTACAAGGAATTTCTTATTAATAGCGTGCCTTGTATTCATTTAGGACAGCCACAGACTCTTACACCTCTCCTTTATGGGCGGGTCCACTCAGAAGGAAAGAATCTAAAGATACCATCAACAGATGCTCAAAACACAGCGGCAACAGGAAGGCACAGTCCTGTGTCACCCTTGCGTGTGCTTGCTTTTCTCAGGGGATCATGGTGTCTGGTACCAATAAACGATACAATATGAAAAGCCTCAAGAGAATAAAAAAGGAAGCCGAAACCGGTTTGGCTCAGTGGATAGGGCGTCAGCCTGCGGACTGAAAGGTCCCGGGTTTGATTCCGGTCAAGGGCATGTACCTTGGTTGAGGGCACATCCCCAGTAGGGGGTGTGCAAGAGGCAGCTGACCGATGATTCTCTCTCATCGATGTTTCTAACTCTCTATCCCTCTCTCTTCCTCTTTGTAAAAAAATCAATAAAATATTTTTTTTAAAAAAAGGAAGACAAATTTAAATAACAATAAAAAGAAGTGGGCATTCCTGAAAAAGTCATGAGAGGAAAAGGCCACACTGGCACAAAAGAGCAAAGATGCCAACACAGTTAATCCACTTTGTACTGTGCTGATTTTAAAAATCACTTTTAACAATCACAATTATAGTTATGGTGCAAGTGGTTAACCCTGCGTAACATTGAGCAACCTCTCCTTCACCTGAAGTGAACCCATCGCGGGGTTGTAAAATGCACCAGGGCGGCAGCACGCCACACTTACCCCTGGGCAAAGGGACCTTCCCAATAAGGGAACGCACTTCTGACAAGTCAGCCTTCCAAACAAAAGGCTCATGTTCACTCAGAGTCAATGGGAGTATTCATTCCAAGTGAGGAACCAGGCCTCACTAATAAATGCCTTATAACTAACCGCATGGTTCAAGCTGCCAGCTTGAGAGTCACATGTGCTGTCTTACTATAAAATTCCTGGCAGAAAAGAACTAGAGAGAGGGCGTAGGTCTCTGAAATCAGCCAGCACAACCTCTTTAAAGAATGGGAAACTAAGACAGGTGTAATGACATGCCCCACAATCGCTGAGGTTCAAGAAAGACAGCCATAGGGAGATAACTAAACAGGAAAGCAAGACCACACTTGCTACACAACCGTATTAAACCAGTCACTCAAGGATCAATGTTTATTTAAAGTCATATACAATAATGAAACAGGTTGTGGTTTCATGTAAGTAAAAACCTTTGCCATAAGGTCAGTACAGCTCTCAAATCACAAACCCACACTGTGTCACTTAATACCAAGCCAAGACCTAAAGAACACTGCTAATCAAGTTTTTCAGTTGATTACAATTAAAGGAGAAGGATACCAGAACTCATGGATTTGGGTAATTCGGATATTTGTTTACATCAGGTCCTTACTAGTTTCAGCATCATTATGGGTAAGATGCCTGAGCAAAGATTGAAGCTAGACAGTCATCCTCCAAAGATGAATGGCTTTGCATCATCTAGAAGGGATGGGAGTAGAGACAAAACTAGCTTTTCTAGTGCACACTCAATGCTAAACACTGTGCTGGGACATACCAGAGCCTTTCCTTCATATAATCCTCAAAACCAAAGCTGCAAACATTTGTTTGAAATATTTGAATGCTGCAAATTAGAAATTGGGGGTGGGAGAAAGAGAAATCAACTTTTTTTATTTTCTATCCTCTGAGGTACAGTATTTTCATTTTCAACCATATGTGTCTTACTTTAACCATGCTTATAACCAGGTATGATTCATATTATCACCAATTTTATACATGAGGAAACCAGCACTCAACAATATCAGGTAAATTCTTACAAGGTCACGCAGTTAAAAAATGATGGCACCAGTACTTGCCTTTGAAAAGATTACAATTTTTGACAAAGAACTTTGAAGGGAGAGGAGAGAGAAATTCAAGGAGTTCATTCTTAGGATATCTGTTTACTCAAAAATGCAGACTCCAAGGTTGTCCCATCCGAAAAACAAGATTAGGGTGAGATTCAACACAACTGAAGAGAAAACATTTAATGGAAAAAGCATCATGGGGCATAGAAAAGGAAGCTGACCAGAGCCAAGCAAATGGACTGCTCAGCAAAGATGAGGGCCTGCTAAGATCGGGCTCACACATTTGTAACGAAGCCAATCAGCACAGTTACAGCATTTTTGCAGTCATGCTGAGAGTCCGGACTCGGTTGATTCAGGATTGGCGGTATTAAGCTTTGCCTTTAAAAAGGCTTGAGGCAACTTGCAGCGTAAAATCAAGTAAGACATGAAGTCAGTCTGCTTTCCATTCCTTCTGCGGATGCAGTAAAAGTAAGATGAAAAAGAATACACTAGCAAAGAGAAATGGAAAGAGCGCATGGACGGGTGTGAAGTAGGCAGATGCCTCCTTGGAGAGCAGCCAGCCTGCCCCATGGAACCTCCACAAGGCTCCAAGCTCAAAGTCAGCCGATGGGGCAGGGGGGACAGGGGGCGAAGGGAGCGTGTAGCTGAAAACCATGGGACTCGTTGGAGATCTAAGGGAGAAAGAGACTATCCCTGGGTGCTTCCATTTTCCTCTATTCACCCACCTCTATCCCTAATTGAGAACCCAAAAATTCACCAGAAAGCCCTTCTTTAAATAAATTGAAAGAAATTTTAAACCAAGCTTCTATTCTCAGTGTGAACAACTCAGAATAGAATTTTTTCAGTCTTGTATCAGAGGGAGGCAGGGCACATGACCATCACAATCATGACATAAATCGGCTCTCCCAGGATACTCACCCCGTTGTGTAAGGGATGTTGATGCCTCCGAGGTTAATGCTCTCACAGCCCACGATGAACAGGGTTGAAAAGCACAGTAGAGACACGCCACTGCAGATCATTGCTAGTTTTGCAGATTCTCTTGCACCAAGTTTCAATTTCTTTATGATGTAGCCTCCCAGGACAATGCCAACTCCAGCGCTAGGGACAATGATAACACCTGGAGAGAAGGGAAGGACAAGGTTAGCTTGGAGTAATTAATGCTATTGTTTTCCTTCTGTCTCTTTATTTTTTATCACCATGTACCCCTCCTAGACTCTCCTCCGACTCCACCCCATACACACACTCTTTACAATCTATTTGTTTTCTAAATACTGTTTCTATTTACTTATTAGTAGTAAGGTAAAGAATAAAAATACTATAATCAAAATTGGCAGTTATAATAACAGTCAGTGAGGATACAGCATAGAGAATATAGTCAATAATATTATAATAACTATAACAGGTGGGTGGGTACTAGATTTTTGGGGTGATCACTTCATAAGTTATAAAAAGGTCTAATCACTATATTGTACACCTGAAAATACAATATTGTATATCAACTGTCATTATTTTAAAAGAAAAAATTACTTTAAAAACTACTGTAATTAATAAATCTTCCAAGTGTGTGGTGTTATAGGATAATTTATTTTCAACACATGCAAACCAACAAAAGATTACTTTTCAGAATATTAAAAAAAAAAACTTTTATCAAGCAATAAAATAAAAACATGCAATCCATTAGAAAAGTAAGAAAATTTCTTCACTAAAGAGGAAATCTGGGTTCCTCATAAACACACATGGGGCTCCGCCTCATTAGTAAGAGGGAAATAGGAGTTTAAGTCACCTGAGGTACTGCTCCCCACCGATCACACCGTAACAATTTCAAAGTCTGACTCCCACGATCAGGGAAAGACACGGAGCAGTGGGCACTCTGGTGGGATGCAAACAGTGACCCCGACTTGAAAAACAGCCTGGCCTTTACCTGGTCGAGTTGAGGATATGCACACCCTTCGACAAACAATTCCATCCCTAGATCTACACCCTGAACAAACTGGCCAACACAGGGACCGAAAGAAGTGTACGAGAGATCTGAGGAAACGCAACAGCCAAACTCTGGAAATAAACCAGATGTCCATTAACAGCTACACAGCATGCAGTAAATGCACACCATGGAACACCACCCCGCAGCAGGACAAGTCGGAAGCCTAACTGCACATAACCATGTGGGTGAACGGTACAAACACACTGTTGAATGAAAGCAGCAAAAACACAACAGAATGTATGTGTGGTTGCAAATTTGTATAAAGTGCAGGAACAGCTACAATGAAATGATACTGTTTAGAAATGCATGGACTGGTAGTACAACTATGAAGAAACCCTGGAAGTAATTATCATAAAAGCCAGGGTAGTGGGGGGATGGGCGGGGTCCGGAGAGGACACAGGGGGCTCCTCGGGCACTGAAATCCTCCATTCCCTAACCTGGGGAACAGGTGCACATGTGATCACTTCATAATTATTCCTTATCTCTAAACTTTGTTGAATGCACTTCTCAATGCATTCTATTTTGCAATAAAAGTATTTTTAAATGGTCACAGTGCCTGCACCAAGAACCTTACAGTCTAAAACAGGACCAAACAAAAAAAATTCAGAACACATTAAAGGAATTCTATAAAGGGCAGGAAGAGCACAGGAGAGGAAACATCTGAGTTTCCCCTGGGAGAAATCAAGGAGGGCTCCACGGAAGTGGCAGGATTTGAGCCGACACTTGACTGATGAGATAGAACCTTTGAAATTTGAAAGATGAGACAGAATCTGTCCAATACACCAGCACAGAGAGACCATCCTACGCTAATGAACATGTGCAGAGGCGGGAGATAAAATTAAGGATTGAGCGCAGGCCACACAAGCTGGGAGTGTAGCATCAATGCAAGCTGCTGGGAAGTGGTGGGACACGGGGAGGAGAGGGAAGGCAGAGCGAGACCAGGAGAGGGACATGAACTCCCGGGAGTCAGGCTGCACCTCTGGGCAGTGAGACACCTCGGAGAATTCTGTGCTGGGGTCTGGCAGGCGGCAGGGGGGGTGGGGGGGGGGGGGTGTTACAAAGATAATGCCTGGCCCTGAGATGGACGACGGCTTAGATGGAGTCAGAACTAGAGCAAAGGGGTGGCCAGGAGGGTGACTGGAGAGAGCCATGATCAGATGGCGCAGTAAAGGACAGGGACAGAGAAAGCACGGCCCAGCCTGTGCGACGAGCGGCTAGAAATGCCTCGCACCGTGGCACGTGGGTCTTAGCTCAGAAAGACCTGAGCGGGGGCATTTGGGACAATAACACCTGTGGGGGACTTCACGGCACAGGCAGGATGTCCCAACAAGACTACACAAAACCGGAAGGGCCAGGGCCAGAGCCCCAGAAAGCACCAGTGTTAATGGGGATCCTATCTCACTCATTTCTGGATAATAGAGAACATTATAAACTGATGAACTAAAAGATAGATACAGAGACAGTAAAGCAACAAACAGACTGTCGAATTTCAGCAGGGAGGGGAGGGAGATATGGTGGAGATAAGAGATCAACCAAAGGACTTGTATGCGTGCACATAAGCAAAACCAATGGACACAAAACTCTGGGGGGGGGCATGTTTGGGAGTGGGGGAAAGGGCAATGGTAAGATATGTACACATATAATACCTTAATAAAATAATTTAAAATTTTTAAAAATGGGGATCATAAACAGATGATCCCACAAAGGACACTGAAAATGAGCAGCCCTGGTAGGGGAGAGGAAATCTAGAAAAGATGGGGGGGGAGGGGCAGGGAGCTTTGGCTTTGGATTCAGAAAGATTGGAATTCAAATCCTCATTCCACCTTTCGTAGCCATGTGATCACACATAAGCATACGCTTCCTCGCCAGCCTCTTCACTTCATCCTGAGATCTCCTTTCCACGTGGAGATGAAGCAGTCTGGCACTCTGTGCAGCACAGTACACCGTATCTTGTACACAATACACTGCAGTCATTGCCCTTACAGCTGTGCCTCAGAAACCAGGAAAGAGAGCTTCAGGGAGAAAGTGAAGAGTGCCAAGTGCCTCGGAGAAGTCCGAGAGGAAAGGCACTGAACTGAGACAACTACGCCCCTGGAGACACATCTTGGCAAGAACAAGGTTCAGGGCACCGTGAAGGCAGAAGCCGGACTGCAAAGGGTTGAGCAGTCAGCCATGAGGTTCAGGAGACCGGCCTTGGCACTGCCTCCCAGAGCTCTGGCTGAAAGAAAAAGAGGGGAATATGGGTCCACCAGTGGAGTGGGGACTGTCCGAGTCTTGTCTGATGCTAAGACCTGCAGAGGGCTAAAGCATATTGAACACAGAGAGCTGACAAAAAAAAAAAAAAAAAAAGAGAGAGAAGAAAAAAAAAAGAGGGAAGGAGAAAGCAGAGCAAAAAGGTGACTTCATAACAATGCAAGATTTGATTTTTTTTTTTAATGAAGAATTTAATGTTTTGTTATTAAACTTTCTTGTTTTCCTCCAAGGCCCCTACTTCACTGTATAAAAAGTAGCACCAGAAAACTCAGGATATTGCTAAGTGAAGATAGTATTGTTCATCATCTAGCAACTAACTGTAACAACTAACAACACTATTCTCCGCGGACAGTTAGTTCCAGGGGAAAGATCATGAAGTATTTTGACCCAAATCCAGAGACTGATGTAAGCAAGTTACAATGTTATATAAGGCGTAAGCTATAGGATATCTTAATACGTTAAGATAATATGTTATCCTTGAAATTCATAATTTATATAACTACATGGTACCATGGATGATTTCAGGAATTTTTAATTTTAGAACTGTAGTAGTCTTGCCTAAAAATCGTAGAGTATTGTGGGAACGATGCGTATCGTGTTTATTTGCAATCATTAAAAAGCTAAGGGGTGTTTTCTTCCAACAGCACATAGTTTCTTTTCCTACTGGTACTACTAAAAGTTGCTATTTGAAATCTTCTATCCAGCACCAATTGAAGACAACTATGCCAGATCAAGTTATTTCATACTACTCTATTCAGGGGGTTCCCTTTTCACTCCTCGGTAGAGTTTACGTATTTCTCACGTGCTTCTTCTCTCACTGGCTCATCTACTCTGAAGGGTGACTCTGTGTCATCTTGGTCAGCCAGCCATCCTCATCACCCCACCTGTTGACAAGTCCTGGCTTTTCTGTAAGAGTTGCGTTAACTACAGTCACGTCTCCTGCCAGAGGAGAATAAAGGGGGTTCACCAGCAGCTTTCACACTTTCCAAAGCACCAAACTCGTCTAGTTTGCTCAATGTTGTCCCAGTTTCAGGCAGACTACAGTAAACAACCCCTCCCGAAGCTTCCTGCGCAAAACTGCTGATTCCCACGGTTCCCATACCATTTTCTGTTGTAGTCCATTCATATTTCTCTGTGAACTGAGGGCTTTGGGGCTGGTGCGCAGCATCCGTGGGGCGCTGGCCTCAGGCTCCAGGAGAAGGAGCAGGCTGCAGACCCCGGGGGCTACTCGCTCTCCAATGCTGGGAGCGCCCTGTTCACAGGAGTGTGGGGTCCGCCACAACCCCTCAACCATCCCCCCAGATCCTTGAGAAGTGAGGAGAATGTGGGATTCCAAGTACAAGTGACCAGATCAGCCGGGATGGAGTGAGATCCCTGCCTCTGCCCTGGGAATGAGATGGGGGAGAGGCAAGGGGGAGGAGGGGGGTGAGAAGTCTCTGGGTGGGTAGGCAGTAGTTTTGCTGTTTCGTTATTCTCCCATTACTGTGGAGACATGGTGCAATATATGTTGCGACCAACCATCTGAAAAACATAGGAAAGGATGAAGGAACAAAAATCCACTGCTTACGTATTTCCTTCCAGATTTTTTTCCTTTAAGATCTGAGAGCATGCTGTCGATTTGGTTTCTTATAGCTTTGGTTTCTCTCTCTCTCTCTCTCTCTCTCTCTCTCTCTCTCTCTCTCTCTCTCTCTGTGTGTGTGTGTGTGTGTGTGTGTGTGTATGTGTGTGTTTCTGTACAAATTAAAAATAAAAGTAACTCCTAGAGGGAAGGGAGCCTGAGATAACCGCCGCAGGAGTGAAGAAGAGAGCACGCAACAGGAAAGCTGAGGGCAGGGCACGCGGGGAGCATGGCCATCCCGATGACACTGGACTCCAGAAGCCTG